AATATAGTAGAGTAGAAATAAATAAAACTCAAACCATTGTGTTCTACGAGTTGAAAAACTATTCACGTTTTTATCATCAATAAACATCAAATTGCGTAACTCAAAACTATATCGTAATTCGTAGGCATTATAACAAAAGGTACCAAGTCACATTTTATTTGCTTATTCAATCTGAACTCTGAAGTCATTGAAATTAGGGTAGAAATTGTGCAATTTAAAAAACAAAATAACATTTTAAAAACCTAATGGAACGTAAGTAAACAATTTCAGTTTTTTTAAAACAAAATCCTCAATTTCATCATAGTATATAAGATTTTTTTTATTTAATGTATTTATAGTTTACACATTTGAATATTTAAGATCCTATTTTTTAATAAATGCAGCTAAGAATAAAAATAAGGCATTTATACGTATTCTGTTCAGTTTCATCCGCATTGATTTTACGCTGACATACGTACAAAATAATTTTTTACCATTATTTGTACTACTTTACTACACTCAGAACATTCTCCGGTTCGTTATGTTTGTTAAAAAAATTTATGATATACGAAATTTATGGTTGTTTCAGTACACAATACTTACAGTCTTAACATTTTTTTCTAAATTTATTTTAATCTTTGTTCATAGAAATATAAAAGTGTTCATAAGTTTAAATTATTATCAAACATACTTTTGACGAAATAAAAATATTTTAAAACAAAAGTCGTGTAATAATAAAAATAAAAAAAATAAGCTGAGGAAGGTAGTTAGTAAAAGAAAATTAAAAGTCGCAGATCGTCTAACGACGGACAAACGTTCTACGGTTCATTAACGTGTTATATATAATTATTCTACCTACATAATTCCTTTATAAATCCAAGGCACACACACAATAAATTACAAAGAACAATTTTAAAACAAAATAACTAGGTAACAATTTGAGCCTTGCTTTAATTAAAATAAGAACCGTAATGATATGTTAAAACTTTTTATAACGACTCGGCATTAGCATACGAGTAAGGGAAAAAATACACCTATTTTCACTCCAATATGTCAAACCTATATGCAGCGCGTAAGTTAATAATATTGTTAAAAGGACGTTTTTGTGAATATTAAAATTCTTTTATTTTTTTTCTAATTAAAACTATTAGTTTGGGAATATGAGAAGTTAAGCAAAATGTAAAATTCACACTTTATGCTACAAAATTAATTAATTAATTAAAACGAATTTAGTTTTAATATTAAAATGTAAAACCAAATAAACGCATAATAAGAGGTAAGCGTAAACCTAGTATAATATTTACATCAATAGATTCGTTTTTAAATCAGTATCGAGAACTTTGAGAATTAAATATGAATGAAGTAGTGTATAACATATTATATACTGAAGTAATAAATCGCTTATTATTTTATATCCTTACAACCTTTAGTGAAATGCGTTTTTGATTAGATACAATAATTGATTCATTCAATGGTATATTTTAAAATTGTTTTAAGTTGAGTTTAAACATACAACCAATAGTTGTTAAATTACTTGTTTAATTAATTTAATTATTACTATTGTGTAAGTATAATTTAATTAACATGTAAAAATGACACTTTACAATTTTTTTTTCGAAAATTAAAACAACGACGAACATTTAAAATAATATATTTATACATTATACTGCAGTTTTTTAACTTAATACGTTGTAAGAACCAAACTAAATTTTAATCTATGAAGTTGTTACAGGAATCTTTTTAGAAACACTGCTTTTACCACAAATGTAGTACTTACTCAATAGTCTCACACCAGACAAAAAAAAATACAATTGTAAAATTTGTTCAAAATATAAAATTGAATTTAAAACAAAATTTTAACGAACTGAGAAATTTACTGTAGCATTACTTAACATAGTTTTGAGTGAAACTGTTATATATTTGGCTTACAATTTTGATTTGGTTTTAGTGTCCATCTCCATTAAAAAGTATCTCCATCAATAATAAAAAAAGACAGCCTTTAGTTTTTCTTACACATCGTTTTTCTTTTAAAATTTACCAAAATAAATAATTATTTTATGGGTAGGTATACGATACTCTCCCAACCACAACTATACAACTAGATAGCCGGACTTATCATTCATATTAAAATCTGTAAAACGGAAAATTCTTCTCTCAAAGAAACTCGTGTTTACATTTTACATTTGATATAGGATTATAACCGCACACATATAATAACCACAATATTTTGAAATTCATTATTTGGTCTTTGTCAATGTACATGGGTGCCTTTGGTAAGTATACTCAGCCGTTTTACCAACTTTAATATTTTATATTACTGGTAAGGGAACCAGCTATATGGTTATAGTATTATATAATATGTATCTGTAGTCACAACAAAATAATGACAGTGACATTTTTAAATTTGATATTTATAATTAATGGTAACACGGAAAATAACAACAAAAAATCGGATCACTATGATACATTTTGTATCATATAAGAATCTATTCAATTTAAAATTTCAATTATTGCACATTTTCCAAACAATATTGAATCAAGTTGATTAAGCAGTTTTTTTTAATTTATAGTAAAAAAATTGGAGAATTTTTTTTTATTTAACAAAGCTCTTATAAATTACGTAGAGTACTAAAATATTAATATTAATCAATTTAAATTTCATGTCACTTCAATCGCTGGTTTACTTTGGTTAAAATAATACGCACATAACATACATACTATAGTGACAATACACGAATAATAATTGAGAATTCATGATAACTATTCAACGTCCATACATTAATATCCATATAATATTCTATGCTGATTTTCCAAGAATAATATACGATACGAAAATTGTGTAAATTGAATTATCTACAATTTAAAATCAATTTCCCACCAAAAGATTGCCATTTAAAAGTTCTAGAGCACATTTGCTTTCCCAAAAAGTGTTTTACGAAAACACATATTATAAAATCAATAGCTTGCTCTCTACCCACTCAAAACCTAAAAATCAAATAGGTCACAGAAAAGTTTAGAGCAACCAAAAGTCGATCATCTAATCAAAACGCACATATTCGTATACCGAAGAAAGAAAATTACCAATTACATGTACATAATACACCACGATCACTGTAAGTGACACACCCACACATTGCCGGTGGACTGGACAATTTATCGGTCCAAGCATTAATTCTTTATTCGTACACATTGTTATACAATTCACGCGCAAACTTTTTACATGCGCACTAGAAATTTGTCGGTATTTTAAAACAATACACATTACGATTAAATGTAATGACAATCGATTGAGCTAAGTACCAACTAGGGACTAGGTGCCTAGCCATCTATAAAACCAAAACAAATAATATTAAAACCTAATGATACAACAACATAGGTGATTTACTTAATATATACTTTACCAAAGTAAATAATTACTTGTGAAGACGCAATTACACACACAAACAAGCACACACACTGTTCTCACTATCAGACTTGAAGTAAGTACGCAATGCCGTAAACATAATATTCGTACAACTAAAATGATGATTACAGGTTACAATTCATTTATTTATTATAATGTTTAACAATGAAAAAATAATATATAATTAGTAATGCCTGTAATACCTACATTGGTCATGAACTTCTTAGTATTTTTCTGTATTTTAATTTTAAAGTTTTGTATCAGTTTTACAAGTAGGTACTGATTCAAAATAAACCTAAGAAATTTTCGAACAATTGATCTATTAAGCATAGTAAAAAACTATCTCTATTACAGACAATTTTTTTTTCACTAAATTGTGTAGTTTAATAAAACATGAACAGTTACGATAAAGCATAAAATAGCCGAAAAGAAAAAATGAGAGTGTGTCGCCGTCAGTAAAAAATTCAATGTAATAAATACAAATTTTAGAATATACAATATACTATAGACATAATACAATTACTGGCATACTTGGGGTAACAGATAATACCGTTTAATGGTGTCATTTTGGAGCAGCAAAAAGGGATAGTGAATAAGCCGTACAGTACCAACAATGTAGGTCCTATATATGGGCTTAAAATCGAGAACAGTTTATAGAATTGTATCTACTTAAGAAGCATAAGTTTTAGAGTAATTGTCCATTACCTTAAATATAACAGAATTTTTGCAAAATCTTATCAACTCTTGAAAAATTCATTCTTCACTCAGAATCTTTTTTAAAAATTGATCTCAACTTTATGTCATACTTCATTTTGGAATAATTAAATCCCATCACTGTTTTTTTTCACTAATCCTAAAGTTCCAAAGTTCAAATGTATCTACAATTCTTTCTGTAATTACATAAACGTCCAAAATATTTTAAAGCATATAACTTCTTATACCTAACAAATTGTTCTATATATTAATTAAATACTCTTAAAAGGCGTGAAATTTGTGTAATCAAGTAAACTTATTACAATAAATAGAAAATAGTGTTTGTTTTTGTATTAAATATATGTGTTGTGAAACTTTCAAGGTGATAACATAATATTACAGAACTTCTTGTCTTATGTTATTGTTTATGTAGGTATTTAGATACCAAATAGGTAAAAGTACAATTATATGTATTTTACATATTTTGTAGTATACTAAAAGCAATACCAGATATAGGATGAACCGTGGAATTATACCAATTTATCACATATCAAACTCAGTAAAATAGAAAACACTGGGGTAGCGGGACCAACCCATGGACACCCTAAACTGATACTCAACAATTTTACGATAAAAAATATTTACATAACCATACCCTATAAAAAAATATATGAAGTAACTACGAATAAATATTAATATATACACATATTTTTATGGTTGAGGGAAATTTTGCATACTGTGAACAAGAGGCCTGACAACGGTTGTATATTGCTACATAATAATATTATGTTCATGGAAATCATTAAATATTCTGAACATCTTTGTTACTATAATAAGAATTAATCTAAATCTAAAATATTGAAAAACCAATAAAATTTAGCATTCAATATTAAATAAAATGATATTATATTATATTTTTAGGCACCTAAATTATCCGCGATGGCCGTCCGATGAAACGCCAGCAACAGCAGCATCGCCATAGTGATACGGCATAACATCATGGCCGTCTCCATCACTTAATTTCGAGCATATCACAAAACACTACCGTCGGACAACGTACAAACCATGTCGTTAAAAAATTTCTCGGAAATGCATTTTATACATATAGTATCACGGTAAAAATGGAAATTGAAGACGCCGCGCGTAGTCTATCGTAAAAAATATTGTGTTTTTTGGTGACGCGCGACAGAAACGACGGCAGACGAACGAACAACACGAAAGCTGCGGGAAAACTGGCGACGGTGCACACACGCGGGTAGCAGCCACCGCCGCTGCTCCATCAGGAACTGTACCGGAAACATCACGCAACGCCCCTCACCCGCTTCCATCGTCCACACCATCCACCCGCCATGACCACAACCACAGTCCCTGATTAAACCAGCTAGTGACCACCCTCCATGGTATATAGCATTGTGAATTGTGATGTACACAAAACGGTCGGCATATTATAATTATTATTGTTGTATTGGTGCACTTCCAAAATTTATTTTGACACCGAGTCTCATTATGGTCGTTATAAACTCTGACATGCTAAACATAACATGATATACCTGAACGGACGGGCCAACAGCGATTTTGTTCAAATACTCGACAGTATAATAAACGATAAGCTTGTGATTTTCCTGGCCCGTTTTTGACACTATTATACGTCATATAGACAATCAAATGATATCAATCGACCAAATACCGAACCTATATAGAATATGAGGGTCCACTTGTTTTTATCATTAATTATTATGGGTGCAAAAAAAATGAGCACGGTGCATAATTATAAATAAAGATCTATAGTAGATATTTATACTTAAAGCATGTTGTGCCTACTATTCAAAGTTTAATAAAATGTTTTAAAAGGTTAGGTTCAAAATCGAATAGATGAATTTTCACGACTAGTCAAGAAGTTATATTTGTTTTTATTAAATACACAATATAACACATATTAAACTGAACCTGATTACGTTTGCTTAATTAAAAACGCCCTTTTTTAATATAAGCCATTAAACTTTTTTGTTTGATTAAAATAGTAGAACCTTGACAATTTAAAACACAAAACTTAAATTTGAGTGACCAAATAATAAATATATTATACAGTTCTAGCCTCTAAATAGAATATAATATCAACTCACGTTCACATTCATCGCACGTAGGTACTTAGTACATATTTATTTAATTAAAATTTTTTTTTAATAATATTTATAAGACTGAAGGTAAGATTTTCTAACTGAAGCTATCTACATCAACAAATATTTTAGATTATCTACCTTAATAACTATAGTAGAAATTTATTTATATTTTAATTTTCTTATTAAGTAAATATTGATTTAAATTAACTAAATAAATAGCTTACAATAGTTTATCATAAACAGATTACTTCTAATGAAAAATTTGTCAAATTTTAAATAACCATTAAATCACCGTCGCCATTTTCAACCAACGTACCAATGCATCTTTAAGACTAAAATTTCATCGTTTATTGTAATTTGTAGGTAACTCAAAAATCCTACTTCAGAATATAATAATTAATATACACAGCAGGACACACTACACTTAACAAAAATGTGTTGCAAAATAATAAAAATATGGACTTGTTAATCTCTATTATCTATTTTGTACCTATTTCGGTATAATAATATTATATTAATAATTGTATCATTTATTCTTTTAATAATGAACATATTGGTCGATTGTAATGTTGCAACCAATAATTAATAACAATTATTTGTATGTGTGATTATTGATTGATGTACGGCTCACACATATTCCACGCTTATACTATACCTCTGAACCCATAATTATATCTAATTATAATATAATAGGTAGGTCGTAGGTATGCACATTGAATACTGTTATGTATATATCACAACATACATATTGATTTACATTTGTACAATTGTACTTAAAAATTAATTATAATTTATATATCGTTATTATAAAAGATAAACAACTAAATAGACACACATACCTGACCCCTTGGATGATATATTATTAAAATTATTGAATAATACAGCCTGTGTGATAATAATTAAAACACATTGTCACTTATTAATGAATAAAAAAAATAAAACAACAAGTCATACAAAAACCTTATACAAATTTAAAATACTATTTTATAATGATGATAGCCTTGTGAATATGTATTTTTAAATTATATTCTAGTCCTATATTGTTATGAGACACGCTTTTAATTATATGCATATCTATAATTAAGTACAGGATGATTCTTTTAGCAATAAACACTCATTATTATTTAAACTGTATTAACTTTTCTTAAATAAAAAGCGTGCATAACGCGTATATTGGCCTTATTTTTTACCCTTATCTTTGATGGTAAACCCACTAGCAATTTTGAAGTATAAAACGGCCCCTATAATTGTGATTTCCTTGATAATCAGAATACTTTTCTAAAGATGTCGATGTATAAAATAAATAAAATATTATGAGTAGTTTCTCTTATTGACAAGTATATTTAATGTTCAGATGAGCTTAATAGTATAATATCAGTGTAATATGCCTCTAAAGTTCAAACACTGGAAAAAAACTTCGATGGTATAAATCATGAATGAAACAATTCTATAATGTTGGAATATTAGATTTTTCATTATTTTCTTTGTGAAATGGGAAAATAAACCGAAATAGTGACTAGTAGGCGTGTTAACATTCTCACGCACAGTCGTGTAATAGCTATAGGGTTTGACTGATTAGGCTATAAAACCACACCCGAATTCCTTTTAATTCGTATTAATCTAATGTTAATCTATTTCACAATATTTATTTTTACTCTCTGGTCTAAGAATAGCTGAGTAGACTATGCGTATTGCCACAAGTCACAACTTTTAAAAATGTCTACACATATCTTCACTATAACAATTCTCATAATTTATTGTACTCACAAATAATTGTATAATAAAATAAGTATGAAGTTAAAATACCTAACTACGTGGTCAAGATGAGTTAGTGGTCGTATAGTGGTCTAGCAAAATACCGAGTGCCTACAACAATAATACAATATTTTAGTCTAAATAGTTAGTAGGTATATTATAGATAGATAACGACGCACAGCAATATCTAATTAATCCATTTATTAAATTTAGCAAATTTTAAATAACATGGTTCTTACTTATACTACAATTCTGCGCTTAAACCCAGACTATTGTATCTATTCTTGTTGGCTTTTTATTTACAGCTTTCATCACTCTGCTAAATTACGTTGTCTACATTGGCCAAATACAGTTAAACCAAGTACATTCAACTCCAAATCATTAAACAATAATACAAATACATTTTTTTTTTTTGAAGATAATTAATTTAGATTAAAAACATAAGTTAATGCCAACCGAATATCAATCGTATAAATTAGTATTCCCTGTATTATTATATATTTTAAATACGTTTACTCGGTGAAATCGTAATGGTTTAATCTATTTTGTGGCGAAAATTGATTCAAACATGTCAACATATAGTCACAGTCCACAAAACACTAATTTGTCGAACCAACATTGGTGTACCTAAAACACAACCTGATAGCTACCCATAAAGACCACAAAATATTCGTACTCTACTATACTATCTCGTATATACTATTTGCCTACTTTTTTCTCTAGAATATTATAAATTATAATCCACTTTCATCAATTAAAATGTGTACACTGCACAGGTGATTTTTGTATTAATATCTAATTATTATTTTTTTGGGTGGGAATTTTGAGTAATATCCTCACTTTTAATAATTGTATGTACAATGTAAGTACCTACTATAACACGTAGGTATAAACTGAAGTATTAAACAAACAAGCAATTTACATTTTTACGCTGCATTGCGTATTATTTATGACATCACATGCATTCAAATCAGTTTTAGTAGACTACCTATAGTGCAATATATTATTTTAGTTATATATTATTTTATCTAGGTACCATTTCAGAATTACATGATGTAACGCGTGTTATAATTTATAATTCTAGCATAATATGTTCTATTTCTAAAACGACAGATAATTATGATGGTTAATTTAAAGGCATATGAATAAATAATTTTTAGTGTTACCATATATTACGGTTTATAGTTTCTAGTTTCCACTATAGCCCTAACTTTAAATTATGTTTTTATTTTTTGAAAACACAGTTTTAAATTGCTGTGTTTAGTTGTGGATGAGATAGAAATCTGAAAATCTGATACAACGCACAGCATAATATAATTATGAAAAAAAATGTCATCTTTCAAAACGTACTGATGTCCGGTATAGTGACCAAAATCAATAGACTACAACTCACTGTTCTATGTATAGTATCTATTACCTAGTATACTATATACATCTATAGTTTTTGAACAAATCAAATACGGGGCTTAATATGGAAGGTTAATATATAAATCTATTGTTTCAAAGGTATTAAATTCAATTCTGATGAGATTTATGCTGAAATGTCACTCTATATAGTATTAATTACCTAATATTATTGTATTCCTTAAGTTGTGTTCAATATTGCCTTTAGTCTCCTTTTCTTCTTCTCCCTGTTCTGCAATTCAAATAATATTGTTAGAAGTTCATATTGTAATTTGTAATGACTAATGTGAATGATGCCCCAGACACGATCTTGAGTAGGAACTGTATAAATAAACAGATTAGTACATATTATTATACTTAATATATGTATCATTGTGATTAATGTACACGTCAAGAGAATAGTTATATTTAAATAAAACTTAAATCCTATCGCCTATTATTTTAATACAATTTTAATAAAAATATGATGGTTATACTAACAATAACTGAAATTATTCAAAGACTGTGATTATTAATTCAACAAAATTATGAAAAAATATAGAATTTTTAAAGAAAATAATATCAGCAACGTTTACAGAGAAAATCCAACTGACGAATCTTTACCTGATGGTGCCAACTTAATTATTAATACAATTTCAAAAAATTACATTAATAGTTTTTATAAATAAAATATTTTAAAATTTAATAATTTAAAAGAACATTTTTATGATAATAAAATATGATTATAATGTGAATCAGGTTTGAATAAATGTAGTTCTTAAATAATACCTAGTATACATTTATATGTAAATTTATTATTTTGTGGATTCAGTAATAGTATGACCTTAAACAAACAATTTATTTATATGCTCACTTCTAAGGAAAGTGATTAAAATATGATGTTCAAATCAAGACAAATATTAATTTCTATTTTCATTAAAAACAAATATGCTTCAATCATATTACATGCTTTCAATTCTAGCGCTCACA